TGTAGCTGCCATCTCCGCCTTGGTAACTAGGAATCTGCTGGTGAAAGAGGTGGGGGTGGGCCTTTGGTGCCGTGAGTAAGTTACCACTTGGGATGCCCACATCCTATATCAGAATGTCTAGGTTCAAGTTCAAGCTCCACTGCTGATTCCAGCTTCTTGCTGTTGATAACCCTGGTGGGAAGAGGATGATGGCTTAAGTAGTTAGGTCCCTGCCATCCATGTCGGAGACCTGAATTGAGTTCTGGGATCTCTACTTCTGCGTAGAGCCCAGATCTGGCTGTTGCAGGTATCTGGGGAGTGAACCAGCTGATGGAATATCTCTGATGGCCTGTCATCTCTGTCTCTCTACCTTTAGAATAAATAGAAAAATAAATAAATGAAACTTAAAAACCCCACTGGGACCATGTTGCATCCCCCTGCCCAGCAAAGCAACTTCATGCCCTTCTCCAGAGCTGGCTGTCATGAACATGGCCGCACGCCATTGCAAGTACACCATGAACTGGCAGTGAGGGCTGTGGTGGGATCCCTTCTTTCTAGACGTCTGCAGTGTGAGAATCTGCTCCCCACCAACTACGCAGAGATCCGCCTTCATCTCCTTCATCTCTGACCTCTGTTGTCCCAAGTTGGGATTCAGGTGAAATTCCAGCATAGGCCACTGTTTTTTTGTTTTTGTTTTTTTTTTCTTTTAAATTTATTTGAAAGGCAGAGTGAGAGAGAGAGAGAGAGAGAGAGAGAGAGAGAGAGAAGAGAGAGAAGAGAGAGAGAGAGATCTTCCATTCATTGGTTTACTTCCCAAATGGCCAGTCTGGGCCAGTCTGAAATCAGGATCCAGGAGCTTCTTCCAGGTCTCCCACGTGGGTGCAGGCATTCAAATACTTGGGTCATTTTCCACTGCTTCCCAGGCGCAGCAGCAGGGGAGCTGGATCGGAACTGGAGCAGCCGAGGCTTGATGGAACACCAGCACTGCAGACAGCGGCTCGACCCACTGTGCCCAGCGCATAGGCCTTCTGTGATTCCCACCTGGGTAGCTTTCCTCCTTGTACACTAGTGAATGAAACACTGTGTGGGTCTTCACTCCTTTCTTTTGAAGGCTGAAGTTTCTAAATATGTAGTTGACATCTTCCCTCATTTTCTGAGTTTCTCTCATTTTCTTCATTATATCAGTGAGGCAGGGAATTAAATGCATAGGCGTATGTCATCCTATTGGTTCAAAATTCATACAGTCTTTGTAAAAATTGTTTAAAAACTCCTTGTATTGAGTAAATCTTTAACACATGAAGTTTGGACACAGCCCAATGAGATTCAGGCTTTCTTTCTCAGAACTCAAGACATTCTATTAGTTTAGATGAGGATGGAGACTTTGGGAAATCAAGTTGCAAATCTAATATTCTAGGAATTTATAGAAGCTTTATCTACATGAGGCAGTAAAGAAAAAAGTATTGGCAGATTTGCTAAAGAGGTTCATGGTTTATGGGTCATCTCTGGGTCTTACATAATAATGTGTGGTGCTAGAAAGTAGTGTATGTTTGTAATGTGGCTCTCAACTGGTTGGCAGAGTTTCTGAAATAGTGAAGTTTTCCTAGGAGCCATGTAGGGCCAGTGGGGCTCACACTGAATCAGGGAAACAGCCTGGAGCAGGGATTGGTAAACTACAACCTGCTACTTGTTTGTAAGCCCATAAGCTAAGAGTGGCATTTATGTTTTAAAATGATTGAAAAGAATTAGTGCTTCTTGATGTGTGACAAAAATATGAAAGTAAAGTTTATTATTTGCTAATATGGTTTTATTGGGACACAGTCTTAGTTTATGTGTTGCTTATGGCTGCTTTCATGCTAAGTGAAGGTTGAGTACATGCAAGAGGCCATGTGGCCTACAAAACTCAACATATTTACTAAGGACTCTTTGCAGAAAAATGTGCTGATCCTTGACTTAGGGATTTTTTTTTAGGATTTATTTTTATTTATATGAAAGTCAGAGTTACACAGAGAGAGGAGAGGCAGAGAAAGAGAGGTCTTCATCCAATGGTTCACTCCCCAGTTGGCTGCAACGGCTGGAGCTGCACCGATCTGAAGCCAGGAGCCAGGAGCTTCTTCCAGGCCTCCCATGTGGGTGTAGGGGCCCAAGGACTTGGGCCATCTTCTACTGCTTTCCCAGGCCATAGCAGAGAGCTGGATCGGAAGTGGAGCAGCTGGGTCTCAAACCGGTGCCCATATGGGATGCCGGTGCTTCAGGCCAGGGCATTAACCTGCTGCGCCACAGCACTGGCCCCGACTTAGGGCTTTCTGACACTATGGAAATGTTGGCAGCAAGGAAACCTGATTATTCCTCTTCTTGGCTTAAAATGAAGAAGTAACCTAATTCATTAATTTTGTTACGAGGCCCTAGTGGTGGTGTTAGTTAACAAAGCTAGTGAGAACTGATATCTGTCAACATGTTTTTCTTCCTATCTTTATAATATTAATTGAGACATGTTGTTAGGGTCATTTTAGCCCTTGTAGTTGAAGCCAGAAGAAAGATGACAAAGTAGGATGATAATGTAACAACTTGGGGATTCATGGTTTGTAAGATTTCCTATAGATTTCAATTATCTGTGCAATTTTTTTTCTATCTTATAATCGTTTGACTCCGTTGTTAGAAATAATTGAAACACAGGTTGTGCTATGGTTTGAATATGGTTTGTCTCCACCAAAACCCATGCTGAGGTTTGGTTCCTAGTGTAATAGTGTTGGGAGTTGGTGTCTTGAAGAGATGATTTGGTCCTGAAGAGGGATTCACGCTCTCCATCTGGGATTAGACTGCTCACTGCAAGACTGGCTTTCTTGGCTTGTTCTCTTGCTTCCTATCTTGCCATGTGACTTCTCTCTCTTCTACCCTTAACCATGACTTCTCTCTCTTCTACCCTTAACCACTCACCACTTTTACACGCTTTTCAACCTTGTGATGCCATCTGCTGGGTTATCGCCCAGTGTAAGGCCCTCACCAGATACGGCTTCTTGAGCTTGGACTTCCAGCCTCTCTACTGTGAACTGAATGAACTTTTCTTTCTTGAGTACCAGTAATGATATTTTGTTATAGAAACACAAAGAGGCTAAGGCTGTAACACATTTTTTTTATGTCTTTTAGAGAACTAGACACTTGCAGGAACTGTGTAAAGAAATCAGGAGAGAAGGTGTTTAAAAGACTCCTAAAATTGTTAAGGAATTTGAAAATGCCTTTACTAATATTTCCCAGATGTTCATTTTAAAATTCTAATATGATATTTGAAATGCACGAAACTGCTCACACGTTAAAAAAGTAAAATGTGAGCTTCCACCTCTCATATCACCCTCTCCACAGAGCCAGTCACTGCTCTCAGTGCTAGTGTGTATGTGTGTGTGTAAAGATACAATTCAGTGTGAGTTCACACTAGTATTTCCATTTAAGTTCAGGGCTATGGGACTTTTACTGAACCTCTGTGACCTTACACCTGTGTCTGTTTTCTCATATGCTGAGAATCTGGTTCTCAGTACCACCAGGAGGGATAAAATGAAAATACTCCTTCATCATTCATTCACTTTATCCCACAGTGGTCAGACACAGAGGATGTTAGATTATGCATATCAAGGTATCCCAATAATGTAGTAACTGAAAATAGGTAAGCATGTTTTGTGTATCTTTTATGTGTATTCTAGATATTTTACTAGTTGGTTTTTTAAACTTTTTTGTTTTTCTTATTTTATTACTAGAGTGCTTTAAAATCACTTGAAATCATTCCTCTGTGAGGTTATGCCACTAAACCAATGATGTTCATTTAGGATAATTTTTTTAATTTATTTTTTATTTTTTTGACAGGCAGAGTGGACAGTGAGAGAGAGAGACAGAGAGAAAGGTCTTCCTTTGCCGTTGGTTCACCCTCCAATGGCCGCCGCGGCCAGTGTGCTGCGGCCGGCGCACCGCGCTGATCCGAAGGCAGGAGCCAGGTGCTTCTCCTGGTCTCCCATGGGGTGCAGGGCCCAAGCACTTGGGCCATCCTCCACTGCACTTAGGATAATTTTTTTATTTAAAAATATAATTTTATTATATAATTACATAGTTAATAGATGATTTACATGGTTTCCAGATGAATCTAGAGAACATTGCTTATTCAAAGGCATCAGGATTGCCTTCCACCCCATTTCTTCCTTCCTCTATAGGTAACCACTAGAAAAGGGTTTCCTTTTCATTGCTTTGTCATATAACCAGATGCCTATTTTTCTATTATTCCCCCTTTTCTTAAATACACTTCCTCCTTTTCCACATAATAATGTATATTAGTATTATTTATATGTAATCTGTATTACCTGAGAGTATAATGTATGCAATATCTAAAGCAACTTCAGAAAGTTTGTGAAAAAATAATTAAAAAATGAATTCATTTTGGTAAAAAATTTTTGAAATACATACATAGTTTTTTCAGAATACACACCTTTCTGTGAACTCATTGAAGACCACTCATACATATTAGTGTTTGGGATTAGCTGTATCACACTATTTCATGTTATATTTAAATAGATGTATAAGTCTTTCATGTAAATAGTCTTTTACTATGTGGTCTATTTTATTATCAACTTCTTAAAATTATTTATTTGGTAACTATCAAGGTTTATAATTTTGCTCTAGTGTTTACCTTTATGCTAATATCTTTAAAAAACTCATATTCCCCTTCTTGCTCATTTTCTGTTGGTCCCCTGCATGAGCAATATTGAAATTAACTAGAAACTTCCTTTTTTCTTTCCCCTATTTTTCTCCCATTAAGTATTGGATCTGGAGTAATATCCCTTTAATCCCAATTAATAGAGACAATCAATAACGTTATTCTGTTCATTGTTTTCTCTGCCCATTCTCCCCCACCCTGTTCTTGAGACTTGTGCACCATCTAGCTTGCTAGAGTGGTATCGTCATTACACAGTATGTTCTTTTGTTCTTTTATTATTATTATTATTTGACAGATAGAGTTAGTGAGAGAGAGAGAGAGAGAGAAAGGTCTTCCTTCCATTGGTTCACTCCCCAAATGGACGCTATGGCCGGAGCTATGCCAATCCGAAGCCAGGAGCCAGGTGCTTCTTCTTGGTCTCCCATGCGGGTGCAGGGCCCAAGGACTTGGGCCATCCTCCACTGCCTTCCCAGGCCACAGCAGAGTGCTGGACTGAAGAGGATCAACCGGGACTAGAACCTGGGGTGCCGGCGCCACAGGAGGATGATTAGCCTAGTGAGCCACAGCGCTGGCCCAGTATGTTCTTTCTTGTAGCCATGGTTTAGTCTTTATTTTGCAGGTTTATAGTCAGTGCCCACTAATATATCTTCCATCAGTGTTTCTCCAGTTGCTTGGATCCTCTGAAGTTCATTCTTTAGCAGATTTTTCAGGAAAGACACATAGGATCATATCCCTTGACTTTTGAGTGTGTCTGGCTTTTATTCTTTTTTTTTTTTTTTTAAGATTTATTTATTTATTTGAAATTCAGAGTTACAGAGAGGCAGAGGCAGAGAGAGAGGCCTTCCATCCACTGGGTCACTCCCCAGATGGCTCCAACAGCCAGAGCTGCGCCGATCCAAAGCCAGGAGCCAGGAGCTTCTTCTGGGTCTCCCACGTGGGTGCAGGGGCCCAAGCACTTGGACTATCTTTCACTGCTTTCCCAGGCCATAGCAGAGAGCTGGATCAGAAGTGGAACAGACGGGACATCAAGTGGTGCCCATGTGGGATGCCGGCACTGCAGGAGGCCACTTTACCCGGCCCCCTGCCTTTATTGTTAAAAGTTTGACTCTCTATGCAGTCTTTGACTCTCTGTCCTGCTGACTCTTAGCATGTTATTACTTCACTGTCTCCTGGAATGAAATGTTGTCTTAAAATGATGACAGTCTCATATTCTTTCCCATAGGAGGGGCTTGGTCTTTTCTCTGGAATGACCAAAAGATTTCCATTTTTCCCCTTTGTTCCTATCGTCCCTGAGCAAAAGGCAGAGTGTCCAGAGAGGGGTGATTGGCACTTGTTTGCTCCCTGTTTCTTTGACTCATCAGTGATGTCCAGTGAAAGGAAGAAGGTGGCGTCAGTCCTCTAGAGCAGTACTCATTTTCTCCTTTGTACCTCGAGCTTCCTTAAATAGTCCTTTGAAGCCAGTCCAAGAAGCCAGTCCAAGACTCCCTGCCCCAAGTTCAAGTGAGCTTCCCAGTGGAATCCTTTTTATGTTGTTGGAAGCTCTGCTGATAACCTAGAGGTGTGGAGGAGGCATCCCATGAGTGAAATGAAATGTGAGGATTATGTAGATTTCCCTTCTCCACATTACGGCTCTTAGCCAGACCACAGGCTTGAACTATTTCCATGGACTCAGCGGGACAGCTAAAGGGGTGCCCCACTCAGTACTCTCTCCAGCTGTCCCTAGCAGAGACATTTGTTTTAAATTTGTTCTAGAATGAGATTTTCTGTAGTATAGATCTATACACATAGACCGTCTCTCCTCTCTGTCTGCATTTTCCACTGCTTAGGAGGTCTGCTCTTATCTGGACTTTCTTCAGAGCATTCTGGCTATCTTTGGAAAAAAGAAAACCTTGCTGTTTCGTGCTCTTGAAGGAGTCGTGCATGTTGTGAAATGATGGGTCCCATCTAATAGTTGCTACCCAAGTAGCCAATAATACAGGTTCTCATCACTCTTATATATTTAGAAGAAAATCATTGCAATAGATTTGGGCAAAGGAGAAGATTTTTAACTTTTTTTTTTTGAGAGCAGAGTAGAAAACTGTACTGGATGAAAAAAAAAACAAATTAATCCTAAACCTAATGAATATTACATTACAATAGCTTAGTTAATTAGTTTGCTAATTAATTTTTCATAAATGCAACTATATTTGAATATTTTGGAGACTTTTTACAAAGTATGAGCACACTTCAAAAAGTTCATGCATGGAAGATAAGTTTAATTGTCCCCCCAAAATGAAATCCATGCACAGCTTTTTCATGGTACACATTTTCCATTAACTTTCTGAAGTCCCCTTGTGGATGACGCAGCGACTGCAACAAAGTAAAAGTGAAATGTCATTTCAGTGGAGCCTGCCTAGACATTACCCAAATGACCCTGGAAGCTGTTATGAGCAACCATGACACGAGAGCTGAACTACTTGAAAGTAAAATTACTGAAGATAGAAAATGGCAGAGGCTAATAACCAGTGTCTCTGTCCCCTGCTCCCACTGCTCACCAATGTTCCCTGGGACCCGTGTCCTTCACAGGGGCACAGAGCAGACCAGGGCTCCCAAGATAGTGGATGATGGAGTTGAAGGGCGTCGTCTGTGCTCTGCAGGCTAGCCCCAGGAATACACTGCTGCATGGACGTCTTAGTCCCTTTGGGATGCCACAATAAAAGGCCACACACTGCATGGCTTATAAGCAACTATTGTTTCTCTCAGTTCTGGAAGACTCTGGTGAGGGCCTGCATGTTGGTTCATGGATGGCATCTTCATGGTGGAAAGGCCAACCTCTCCTCTTGTATTAGGGCTGTAATCCCTCGTAATGAGGGCTCCACCCTCCTGACAGAGTCACCACCCAAAGGCCCCACCTCCTGATAATTCTCACACTGGAAATTGGGTTTCCATTGTGAATTTTGCAGGGATGTAAATGTTCAGACCATAGCAGATGTCTGAACACATAGACAGAAATCAGAGGATTTTAAATTGAATTTTATATCTGGGATTAGTAAGTAACATAGTAGGATATTTCAATTTTATAGAAAATTATTTTTGATTAGTGGTATATAGCTTGTACTTACTTTCAAATACAGGTTAAAAAGTCAGAAACTATTTTAAGATTATGGGTACTACAGTGTGCACTGGCATTTTGCTTGTGAACTTCCAGAAGACATTCACTAGCTTTCTAGGAAGTGTTTGGTCTGAGGTTAAAATGAAATTGGGAGCTATCTGGTTTATCCATCATTGCACCAACCAGACCATGAGGGCTCAGAGAGTTCCAGTGATTCGCCCAGGACCACACTTATAGTAGAAAAGTTCAGGTTAGAACCCAGGGCTCTTAAGAACCATGAGTGGGCTTTTGCTTTTTTTTTTTTTTTTTTTTTATTTTGACAGGCAGAGTTAGACAGTGAGAGAGAGAGAGAGACAGAGAGAAAGGTCTTCCTTCCATTGGTTCACCCCCAAAATGGCCGCTACGGCTGGTGCTCTGCGGCAGGCATGCTGCACCGATCCAGTGCCAGGAGCCAGGTGCTTCTCCTGGTCTTCCATGGGGTGCAGGGTCCAAGCACTTGGGCCATCCTCCACTGCACTCCTGGGACACAGCAGAGAGCTGGACTGGAAGAGGAGCAACTGGGACAGAATCCGGTGCCCCAACCAGGACTAGAACCCAGGGTGCCAGCGCCACAGGTGGAGGATTAGCCTAGTGAGCCACGGCGCCGGCAAGAGTTGGCTTTTTCAAAAGAGCTACTTTCAAGTTTTTATTTTTGTCTGTATACTTACAGATTCATTTATTTTTAGAGCCAGATGAACCTTTAGTTCATCTAATCTGTCCCACCAGTTCCCCACCACACCCTCATTTTATAGAAGGAATCAAAGCCCAGTTATAGATAAGGAAGCTGATGGCATAGCTTCTTGGAAAAGAAACAATTTTTTTTTTAATTTCCAGCAAACAGAGATAGTATAGATGTCTGCATGCATAAAGTGAAAACAGTTTTTCTTGGTAACCTGATGAAAGTCTACTTTTCATAAAATCTATTCATTTAACTAAATTAAAATACTCTCAACAACAACAACACAGAAGGGGATCACCTTTAATAGAACTGATTTTTTTTAATTGTAGGAGTCACCAGAAAATTCCTTTAGCAAGATGTGCTTCTTGTATTTAAGCTATTATGCATTTTAGACAAGGAAAGCACTTACTGTGTAAAGCTGTGTGAACTGTAAGTGCCACATACACCAGAGATGGGTCCCAGAGCAGCAGTTACTCGCAAGTGTCTTGCAGTTGTGAATTGTTCTACTTCTTCCTCACTTGTGTTTTCCTTTCCATGTGTGGGGGTATTTGTCTCTGCCTCACAATTTACTGCAGTTAACTTCTAGGCTAAGCAGTCTGTACTTTGCATGAGATCTTTCTTTTAGCTGTCCCAGCCATTAAGACTTAGGAAACTAAGCATAAAGCTTTTGTTTGTTTCAGTGATGTGGTTTACTTAAGTTGCTAATGATATGCTGAAACCAGAAATGTATATTAGTATTGAAAAGAAAAATCAATTGGATTAAGTCAAATAAATAAAAATAAAGTCTAAAAGCTTTCTGAAAGATTAACATTATTTTTCCAAAACAGATTGCATAATATAGTTCAGTTATCAAATTAAAATTAATGATTTATAATACATCTCAAATTGTATTATCTAAGGTTTTCATTTTTTAAACATTTTATGGAAGCTAAAATATTAATATAATTTGTAATATATCTGCATAAGTCTTTAGAAAAATATGTGACATGGAGTTCTTTACAGAGACCCAGAGACACGATGGAAACACGAACAAACTGATGAGCAAGGACAAACATTTTGTTTCTTATAAATTATATTTGATTTTAATGGATTTGACATTTTCTCCTTAAACACAGTTTTGGTCAGGTCTGTATTTTGGAGAGAAAGTTAGAATGGAAATGGAAATAACATTTAATTTCTATTTAATTGTCTCTCTGACATGTATATTGTAGGAAGACTTAAATGAAGTATGGTTAGTTGTAGGGACTAGAAGTCTCAATTTCATCTAAAATGATGGTAATTCTGTAACCCACCTATGGTACACACGATCATGATAATAATACCTAAATACATTTCAGTTTATCTATGAATATTCTTTTAGCACTTACGTGCCTGGTACCAATTCAGCTCCCTATGTGTATCAGTTCCCTTAATCTTTTATTTTATTTTATTTTATTTTATTTTATTTTTTTTAGTTTTTGACAGGCAGAGTGGACAGTGAGAGAGAGAGAAAGGTCTTCCTTTGCTGTTGGTTCACCCTCCAATGGCCGCCGCGGCCAGCGCACTGCGGCCGGTGCACCGTGCTGATGCGAAGGCAGGAGCCAGGTGCTTCTCCTGGTCTCCCATGGGGTGAAGGGCCCAAGCACTTGGGCCATCCTCCACTGCACTCCCTGGCCACAGCAGAGAGCTGGCCTAGTTCCCTTACTCTTAATAATAATCTTAATAATAACCTTAAGAGCTCGATCATATTAATTTCTTCGTATTGCAGATGAGGACATGGAAGCATGGAGAGGTGAGTGATTTGCCTGCAGGCGCACAGCAGGCAAGGGGCAGGGCTGGGACCTAAGCTAAGCAGAGCAGCTCTGCCAGTGTGCACCTGCCCGCCACACTGGGGCGGAGGCTCTGTTCCCCATCATGGCTTCTAGACCAGCATCAGCAGCCGCATCACCTGGAGACACTGGACATCGCACTCCCAGGCCATATCTCAGACCCACTGAGTTGGAAAAGCTGGGGGGAGGCTGTACAACCTGTGTTTTGAGGAGTCCTTCAGTGATTCTGATACACACGGGTGTCTGAGAGCTGCTACTTCTCCCTGATCAGGGGACAAGGGTCTAGTGGTAGAGACAGACATGCAAATATACATCATCTAGTAAGTGCAGTAATTGAGGCATAGGTGAGGATACTTCAAAAGCTTCATGGAAAATGGGATGAGGAAATAATTTAATTTTACTGCAAGACAACTTTGAAATCCAAGCACAGTTTTCCATAATATGCATTTTTCATGAACTTTTTGAAGACCCCTCATATTAGGAACAGAGATGCTGCAAAGGAGACTGTAATTGGAGGGCGAAAGTTTTGCTTTTTGAGCACTAAGAAATTTGTGCTTGATTTTAAAGACACAGAAAAGGCAACAAATCCCAATACAGGTAGGGTATGCTGGATTTGTTTGTCCGGAGTTTGAGCAGATAGTCTAAATGACTTCAATCGGGGCTGAGTATTTTGGCAGGACCAGCAGAATCATTGTTACTATCCTGTGTAACCCATCTTCTGGCCACAGCTGTGCCTCTGACATTCATGCTATTCCTGGAATTGATGGTTTTAAAGTTTTCTGAAGACATTTTTTGGAGATCACCTAAGATAATGATGCGTCCTTTGTGCCTAGAAAAATAACTGAGTGTTCCATGCTAGAAAGGCTGACCCTCACTCATGACACCCACTTTATTTGCCTATAAATACAAAGATAGGCCTACTAAAACTCTAGTGCCTTGCATTAGGATATAACAGGACTGAGTGTTACAAGCTACTGTCATAGCTCCTAATGCCGACATCACTTAACCCATTAGGGAAGTCAGCCTTCATTTTTCAGGGTACAGCATTGTAGGCTTCCAGGCTAAACAAATTCTTTGCACTTTTCTTTCTCCTGGAAATAGGGATTAGACATAAAGGAAACAACACAGGCTGACTACTCTTTGTAATGTCTTCAGAGAGATGGACTGATGTGCACCGCTGTGTTCAATCACTTAAAAGGCAATAATTCAATTATGCCATCCTGTATATAAGAAAAGCCATTGCTTTTCAGTTCACTTCCAGGCCTGACACAAGTAAATCACTTTGATAAAATCCCTTTTTTCCCCTCTTAGAGACTAGCATAAGTAATGATATGACAATCTAGCAAGGACAAGATGAATGTAATATACTTCTTATAGAAAAGCAAAAGATTTCACAAAGCAGTGATTCATTGTGTTATTTGGAAAATTATTTTTCATGTGTGTGTGTGAGAAAGATAATTTAAAT